ATCCAATTAGCTTAAATTTGATTTAAAGTCAGTTGATGGAACATTTTCTATATTTATTCTGACTTAACATTTGTGAATCATGTAGTGTATATCTTCAAATCTGGTAGGAAACCATTCCATTTAATGTTTGTGTTTTTAGGTATGCATATATGTATATATTTATATTACTGTGTAGAAATGACAGTACTCAGCACTCCCCAAACATTTATATATATAAAATCATTTTTCTCTTCTGATAAAATGAGAACAAAGCATGGGTCAGTAGTTTGACAATTCAAAAAGATTAGATTTTTTAAATATATCATCTTTAATGTTTTATGCTTAGATGATCTGTTTCTTCAGTGTATGCTGAGTCCCTAAAGTATGATATTTGCTATGCAAACATAGTTTTAGATGGATATATATGACGTTATAATCTACTTATGTAAGACAAAAAAAATCATGAGAAAATGGTAGAGTCTAATATAATAGGGTAAAATGTCCTTTGAAGTAATGAAACCGTCTCCAATCCACCCTTCACACCCCTGTCAAACTGATAGTCTGAAGTACAGTTAGTTCCCCTCCAAAACTTCTCAGAAAATAGATTCAGAAAATATTCCAGATCAAATCTTGATGGAAACTCCCAAGAAAAATCACAATGAGTCATTTTTCCCGGGCCAGGTCAGCATAGGGAAACAGAGATTTGTAGACATTCTGGGCGATATAGTCCAAGTAAAATACTCTAGTATACAGTGAGGCTATACACCAAGGCGAAAGAAGTCCCAGACCCACACCAGGGCACCATGTACAGAGTGCAGGAGTAGATGCCAACTGGAAACTTTGCTACCCACTACCCAGTTTCATGTCATAGCTCCTGAGCCAACAAGACTGTGATTCAAGGGCAGTGGTTGCACGCCCTAGCCGGAGAGGAACAAGCTCAAAATTAAGTAGCAGAGATATGACTTGAATCCCCAGGTACAGAGCAAAGTCTCACTTCTAGCTTCTAACCCAATCTGAAGCCTTCAGAGGGATAACCAGTACAGGAACCCCCAGACCCAAGGGGAGCCAGCATTTCTGTCACTCTGAATCAACAGAGCTTCCCAGATGTTGGATTATGGCTGAATACAACAGCAATCTACTCTTGGACAGATCTAACCCCAGGCAGGCTTGCAAAGCTTAGACCAGGGTGGGGGGGCAGCAGTCATACTTTATACCATTAATAAGATCATTTTGGGAGCTAGCCTGAGCTGTTCTGGAGATCCTGAAATCACACAACATTGAAAACCCAAGAAAGCAGCAACAAGACTAGCCCAGACCTTCCCTGCAGAAGTGCACAGAGTCCAGCCCTAATATCAGGTCGAAATCAGAAAGAATGAGCGGGAAAAAAAATCATACCACAAAAACTATTATGATGATCAAGAAGAAACATCTATAAGCAAACATCTACAACAGAATTATCTGCAAGCAAAAACATAAGCAAGACCTCAAAGGAAAGAAAAGGGAAAAACAAACAAACAACTCGGCTACAAATTCAATTAGAATTCCAGGAGAAAAGCAATAATTTTTTTTAAGAGTTTTAAAATGTTTTTAAAAATGAAATAAGAATGCTAGAGGGGGAAAAAATGGAAAAGAAATGAGAGTTGTGGAAGAAAGAATTGGAAAAGGAATTAAGAGCTTGGCACAAGAGGTGCAAAACCTTGCTCAAACAACAAACTTCCTAAAATAGAATGAACCAAATAGGAGCTTTATATTGTCTTGATTTCTCATAAAGTCACTAGCTTCCAATTGCTCCATTCTAATTTTTAAGAACTTATTTTCTTCAGTGAGCTTTTGGACTTCCTTTTCCATTTGGCCAATTCTGCTTCTTAAGGATTCTTCTCCTCATTGGCTTTTTTGGACCTCTTTTGCCATTTGGGTTAGTCTAATTTTTTAAGGCGTTATTAAGTAATTTTTTTGAGTGTTCTTTAGCAAGCTGTTGACTTGTTTTTTATGATTTTCTTGGCATCAATTTCATTTCTCTTCCCAGTTTTTCCTCTACTTCTCGTCTCAAAATCCTTTCTGAGCTCTTCCATGGCCTGGGACAAATTCACATTTTTCTTGGAGGCTTTGGATATGGGAGCTTTGACTTTGTTGTATTCTTCTGGTTGTATATTTTGATCTCCTTTGTCACCAAAATAAGATTCTATGGTCTGACTTTTTTTTTTTTCTTTGCACTGTTTGCCCATGTTTCCAGCCAATTACTTGACTATTAAATTCTTTGTTAAGGAAGGGGTCTGTTTACTACTTTCCTGGCCTGTGCTCTGGTCTGTGAGTGACCACAAGCACTCTTTTCTGCCTTGAAACTGTGAGGAGGATTCTCTCTCCACCGCCGCCACAAGCCCCACCACGCCAGTGCTCCTCCTCCCCCAGGACTGCCACCTAGGACTGTGACTCAGATTCAAGCATGGGCACAGCAAGAGAATCCTGCCTCAGACCAGCAAAGAGATACCTGCGATCTCCCCTCTATCTGTGGACTGAGAGCTGTGGAAGCAGCCGCTGCACCAGGACTGGGGCCGGACTGAGCTCCTCTCTCACTGTGGTCCAACAGACCTTTCCTATTGACTTTCTAAGTTGTCTTTGGCGTTTGTGAGTTGAGAAGTTTGGAAACAGCCACTGCTCCCCTTGATTCAGTACCCTGGGGCCTGCTCCAGGTTCACTGAGGCCCAGTCTTTGCCTGTGTGGCCCACGCTGAACTGCGCTCCTCTCCTAGCCAGGCGCAACAGACCTTTCCACTTTCTGGTTAACCATCCAGGTTGTCTTGGGCTGGAGTAGAAGTCTACGTAGGCAAGGAGGAAGAGATCAGCTGACAGTTGAGCTTTCCTCATCTGATTTGATCAAGGGAGGGAAGAACATGCACACCTACACATACACCCCCCCCCCCCCCAGAAATAAATTTCACTCCACAGGAAAAAGAAAGAGAAGAGAGAATGGAGAATTAAAGGGAAAGCAGATTAAAAGGAGGCTTAGCAAAACAAACTCTTGCTAAACACACAGAAAAGTATTTAAAGCTCTATTTGAAGTGACAGAAGAATGGGAGTCTGAGGGCAGTGCCCCTCATTTAGGGAAATGGCTGAACAAGGTATAATGTACAAATGCAATGAAATATGATTGTTGTGTAAGAAATAATAGCAAAGGGCATGGTTTCAGAGAAACCTAGGAAGACTTTTATGAACTGAAGTAAAGTGAACATAACCAATGAAACTGTTTATACCAGGACTATATTGTAAAAACAGACAACTTAGAGTGTATTGTTTTGTTTTTGAGGCTGCTAGGTGGCACAGTGGATAGAGCTTTGGGCCAAGAGTCAAAAAGACTTGAGTTCAAATACAACACTGGTTCTTTGACCTTGGGCAAGTTGCTTGATCTCTCTCTGCCTCAATCTGCTAATCTGTAAAACGGGAGTAATAATAACACCTATGTCTCAGGGTTGTTGGGAGGATCAAATGCGATAATATTTGTTAAACACTTAGCACAGTATCTGACATATAGGTACTATATAAATGTTAGTTATTATTATTATTCAGAGAATTAATGAGGAAACATGCTACCTACCTCCTGGTAGAGAAGTGAAAGAATTAGAGTTCAGAATTATTTGTATGTGTTTGGGGTATATGTGTGTATAAAATTTTATTGTGTATATATTTTATAATTTATATAATTATGTTTTGATTATATCTAGAGTGTGGAATGAGATATATTTAAATATAATTATGCTATATATATATATCTCATTTTACACTCTAGATACATGATATAATACACATTTTATTTATATATGTATGATACACACATATACGATATAGATGTAAAATGAAGGCTATAGACATATGGATATAATTTATATTCTTTTGGACATGATCAATGCAAAAATTTGTTTTGCTTAACTGTATAGGTTTGTAGCAGGATTTTTATTTTTCTTTAGTCTCAGTTGGGGAGAGGAAGTGGTTGAGGCAGAAGGGAGAGAAGGCAGATTTTTGCTGATTGAAAAAAAAATTTAATTTAAAAGAAGACAAAATACGAGCTTCTCTGTTTGACATTTAAAGACCATCACAGTCTGGCTCTAGCATGCTTTTTCAGGCTTATTCCACATCATTCCCCTTCACACATACTGGGTTCCAGCCAAACTTGCCTGCTCGCAGTTCCCTGTACGTGATATTCCATCTCCATCTCTCTGGCTTTGTGTTGGCTGCACCCCTCACTTCTGCCTCTTAGCATCCCTAATTCTCTTCAAAAACCAGTGTAACCGACTCTTCTCCACAGTTAGCCCTACCTTGATCCCTCTAGTTGCTAGATTACTTCTTTCTCGAAATTACTTTGTATTTATTTAACTGTTCATGTTGTTCTTCCCATACCCCCAGTTGGATGAACTTCTTGAGGACAGAAACTGTTTGCTTTTGGTTTTGTTTCCCTTGTCCAGTACAGTTGACACATAGTATAGGCATTTAATAAATGTTTGACGAATGAATGAATGAGTTGTGGGATATGTTGTTAGTGTTTCTACTTACAAAATCATTTTTAAGGGGTTTGAAGTATTCTTTGTAATGTGTTTATGAAAACTCAATTGATTTTTTTTTTATTATATTGATTGTAAGTTGATTTAATGACCTAACTCTGGTTCAGTAGAAAAAGCACCTAACCTTCCCACATTGAACTTTGCATTATGAGACCTTTGTTCAAACTTCAGCTGTGTCATTTACTAAATGTGTGATCTTGAGCTAGTCATTGTATACTCCCTGAGCCCCAATTTACTCATCTACAACATGAAAGGGATTGAATTAAATGGCCTCTTTGGTCCCTTTCAACTCCAGGTCTAATCCTATTACTTGTGAAATTTTGGAATGCTGTTTTTGGTAAAAGGCTGTAAATATAGAAATAAAAAGTATAATTGTAAAGTGTGTGTGCATGTGTGCCACTCTTAACATGTATAGAAATGCAAATATATTAAATTATCAACTAATTTAATTTTTTTGTTTTTCTAATAGAAAGAAGAAAAGAAGTCAGTCAGTTATCCCTCACTTCTTAGCCACATAACATCTTCTTTCTTAAATCATCCAGTCATTACAATGACTATAAATCCAGACATAAATATTCCTCACCTCCTGAATGGATTTTCTCCACTTGTATCATCCATGCCTTGTGACATTCACTTAGTTAATCTAAGGACAATACAATCAAAGGTATGTTAACAGTACATGTTTTTAAAGGGCAGCTACATTTGTTGTGTTGGGGGATGAGTCATTAATGCTTTAAAAATTAAAATGCTTTTTATAACTCTCCTGTTCTTTAAGTGATAATAATATTAATAATGATAAAAACATATTAACATTTATATAAGAGTATTGTGTGACATTTATATAGCATTTTAAGGCTTGTGCAATGATTTAGATATATTTCTTTTAAAATCTCAGCAATGTAGATATTACTATTGACTCTATTTTACAAATGAGGAAATTATGAATGAAGGAGGTTAAGTGACTTACCCAGAGTCACACAACTATTATGTGTTTGAGTCAGGATTGACACACAGATGTTCCTGACTCCAAACTGCCTCTCATTGAGTAGTAGAGATTATCTTTTGTGTTTGTTTATTTTTTTATTTTTTTAAATTTTTAACGTGTGTTTTTAAAACTTTGGGTTACAAATTTTCTCCCTTCCTCCCTCTCCACCCATCCTCATTGAAAAGGCAAGCATCTTGGTACAGGTTATAGATGTGTAGTCATGCAAAATACTTCCATAGTAGTCCTGTTGGTGAAAAACTAAGTATATTTCACTTCATCCTATCCTACCCCCCTTTTATTCTATTCTCTCTTTTGACCCTGTCCCTCCTCAGAAGTGTTTCTTTTTTATTATCCCCTCCCCCAATCTGCCCTCCCCTCTCTCAATGCCCTGCTGTCTTGTCCCCTTCCCGCCTTATTTTCCTGAAGGGTAAGATAGATTTCCATACCCCATTGTGTGTGTTATTCCCTCCTTAAGCCAAATCCTATGAGAATAAGATTCACTCATTCCTTCTCACCATCCCCCATTTCCCCTCTATTTCTCCCTTTCTCCTTGTCCCTGTATAATCCTCTCTCACTCCTTAATTTTATTTTCCAGATATCACCCCTTCATCTTCAACTCACCCTGTGCCTTCTATGTATCTATCTATCTATCTATACATATAATTTTTTCCCTCCCACTACCCTAATACTGACAAAGGACTCATGAGTTACAAATATCATCTTTCCCTGCAGGAATGTAAACAGTTCAACCTTAATAAATTTCTTATGATGTCTCTTTCCTATTTACCTCTTCCATGTTTCACTTGAGTCTTGTATTTGAAAGTCAAATTTTATATTCAGCTCTGATCTTTTCCACAGGAATGCTTGAAAGTCCCCTATTTCATTGAATGACCATTTTTTACCCTGAAGGATTATACTCAGTTTTGCTGGGTAGGTGATTCTAGGTTGTACTCCTAACTCCTTTGCCCTCTGGAATATCATACTCCATGCCCTCCGGACCCTTAATGTAGAAGCTGCTAAGTCCTGTGTAATCCTGACTTTGGCTCCTTGATATATGAATTGTTTCCTTCTGGCTGTTTGCAATATCTCCTTGACCTGGGAATTCTGGAATTTGGCTACAACATTCCTAGGAGTTTTCCTTTGGGGATCTCTTTCAGGAGGTGATCGGTGGATTCTTTCAATTTCTATTTTGCCCTGTGGTTCTAAAATATCAGGGCAGTTTTCCTTGATAATTTCTTGAAAGATGATGTCTAGGCTCTTTTTTTGATCATGGCTTTCAGATAGTCCAGTAACTTTTAAGTTCTCTCTCCTGGATCTATTTTCCAGGTCAGTTGTTTTTCCAATGAGATATTTCACATTCTCTTCTATTTTTTTCATTCCTTTGGATTAGTGTTACAGTGCCTTGATTTCTCAAATTGTCACCAGCTTCCAATTGCTCCATTCTAATTTTTAAGGAAGTACTTTCTTCAGTAAGCTTTTGGACTTCGTTTTCCATTTGGCCAATTTTGCTTGTTAGGGCATTCTTCTCCTCGTTGGCTTTTTGGACCTCTTTTGCCATTTGGGTTAGGCTGTTTTTTAAGGTGTTATTTTCTTCAGTATTTTTTTGGGTCTCAACTAACATCACTCTCAGTTTTTCCTCTACTTCTCTTACTTGCTTCTCAGACTCCATGGCCTGGGACCAATTCATATTTTCCTTGGAGGCTTTGGATGTAGGAGTTTTGGCTTCGTTGTCTTCTTCTGGTTGTGTGTTTTGATCTTCTTTGTCATCAAAGTAAGATAACATAGTCTTGACTGTTTTTGCGCAGCTTGCTCATGATCTCAGCCAGTTACTTGAGTTATAAACTCTTTGTTAAGGTAGGGGTCTGTTTCCATTGTGGAGAATGTACTGTCCCAAGCTTCAGGAGTTTTGTGCAGCTGTTTTCAGAGATACTTCTAGGGACCTGTAAATTTTCAGTTCTTTCAAGGTGCTGTGATCAGGGACGAGGTATTTACTCCTTTCCTGGCCTGTGCTCTGGTCTATGAGCACTCTTTTCTGTCTTGGAACTGTGAGAAGGGTTTCCTCTCCACAGCCACTACAAGCTCCACCATGCCAGTACTCCTTCTCGCCCCAGGACCACCACCCAGAACTGTGACCCAGATCCAAGCATGGGCAGAGCAAGAGAATCCTGCACCAGCAGAGAGATTCGTGCAATCCCCCTCTGATCAGCCACTTGATTCCCCCTCAGTCTGTGGGCCAGAAGCTCAGGAAGCAGCTGCCACCCCAGGGAATGGGACTGGGACCCCACCATCTTTCTTTCTTACCACTGTAGAAACAGACTTTTCCCACTTACCTTCTAAGTTGTCTTTGGCATTTGTGGGTTGAGAAGTCTGGTAACCACCACAGCTGCCCATGGTTCAGTCCTCTGAGGCCTGCTCCAGGGTCACTGCAGCATGCGTGCCCATGCCGAACTGTGCTCCTCTCCCAGCCCAGCATGATATACCTTTCTGATCAACCATCCAGGCTTGTCTTTGGCTGGAAATTGTTTCACTCTGTCTTTTTGTGGGTTCTGCTGCTTTAGCATTTGTTTAGAGACATTTTTTATAGGTATTTGGAGGGGTTTGGGGGAGAGCTCAAGCAAGTCATTGCTTTTACACCACCATCTTTAGAGATTATCTTTTGGTATATTGAGTCCTTCTCACTAGATACTATACCTGGAAAGTCAGAGAAATACACAATATGTTTCTTCCTTTTTTTTTTATTTCCCTTCTGAAAATAATCAAATTCAGTTACTAGAATCCAGTGATACATTTCATGTATGTTCAGAAGAAAAAGGGAAGCTCAGAATTAATATGTGTCTTTGAAGCATGACATTCTTAATAAGAATGTTTTTAGTTAAATTCTATTAATAATTAAGTATTTATATTTTTAAGGATGGAGAAATTTCTATTGAAAAAAATAACAGGTTAGAGATTTGACTCCACTCTTAAATGAGAAGAGAAGCATTTGGAATTGATTTGGCATCTGCTTAGAAGGAAATAAGGGATTAGCTTGGACCTTTGGATGTCAATAATTTCATTAGTGATGTGAATAGTAGAGAATACAAATATTTTAAGTTTAAGAACAATATTAAGGAGGATTGCATTTAACATGGCAATTTTAAATTTTCTGGAAGTTGGGAAAGTGTACATAAACAAGAAAATAAAAGTATATACAGGATAGGGACAAGCACCAGGGTTCAAGACTTTACAAATAAATGTGAGACAAAGAATTACTGAATGTTACAGATATAACCATACCCAGGATTCAACCTTTTGTAAGCCCTAGGGACTTTTTCCAAATTGCCCTTTTCCCTGCTTCTACATTTGAAAATCAAGCCCCTTGTATCTCATTTTTAAAATCTATACTGGAAGCCTTTAAGGCATCATTGAAACATCTGCACTTCATTTTAAAAAACAAAAACCTATTTGTCATAAAGAGCCCAATTTTCTGGCATTTAAAATATGTATATTTTTAAAGAAGCTAACATATAAAAATATCCTTCCTTGTTCTCACCCCCATGTATTGTTCTTTATGTTGTCGACATCTAGTTGTGACAATGAATAGCAAAAAAAATCCATGGTATCTAGCCCTAAAATGATAGATGGGGGGTGTGGGGCAATTCTTGAACCTTACTCTCATTAGATTTGGCTCAAAGAGAGAATAAAATACACTCATTTGGGTATAGAAATCTATCTTACCCTATACAGAAGTAGAAAAGGGGCTGGGGGGACTGATAAAAGGGAGTGTGGATTGGGAAGGCGGTGGTTAGAAACAAAACACTTGTGAGGAGGGACAGGATGAAAGGGGACTGGGGTGTTGGCAGGGAGAGTTATTAAAGGAGAAAAATAGGATGGAGAGGAATTTACCCATGAAATAGAAGTGAATAGCTAGGTGGATTAAAAAAACAGAATCCTATATTATATTGTTTACAAAAACACGTTTGAAGGAGAGAGACACACATAGAATAAAAGTTAGGGGCTGGGGCACAATCTGTTATGCTTCGGCTGAAGTTAAAAAAAAAAATAAGGAATAGCAATTGTGATCTCAATGCAAAAGCAAAATAGATCTAATAGAAAGATATAAGGAAGGAAACTATGTCTTGCTAAATATGTACCCTAGACCAGTGCTTCTTAAACTAGTAGTTGTGACCCCCAGTTTAAGAAGCCCTGAAGGGGTCACAAGTGGAAAAAGTTTAAGAAGCCCTGTCCTAGGCAATGAAGTAATACGAGTACTAAACATGTATGCACTAAATGGTATAGTTTCAGGAACTCTCAAGACAGAGACAGTAAGGGGACCTTGCAACTGGTCAAAAAGAGATTATAAGGTACCCTGGTAGTAGCAGTGGACATAGTATCAGATGCTGTTTGGCAACCCCATTACCTATACCCACTTTTGGGTCATAGTTCAATGGCAAAGAGCAGCATTTTCAGTCAAGAGGGAGCAGGAACACTGAGGGGTAGTAACACTTCTGGCCCCAAGTTTTCGGTCCTTCCAAAGTGGTGTGATCTAGGGCAAGGTGTACAGTCACTGCTCTTTTTGTCTTCACTTTGGACTTTACCCAGCAAGGGCCCCTTATCCCTTAGGATTACAGTCAATACTGCTTCTGAAGTCCCCTTCTCCCTTGGGTCCAAACCCCCAGAACTAGCTCAGAAAACAGCAGTACAAAAAAACCAGAAACTTGAAACACTGCCCCTCACTTCCCCACACTGGGAAAAGATCCTAACATTTACATAAAGTTCCAAATTAAGAAATAGTGTGGAAAATGAGCAAACAACAAAAAATTAAATTGACCATGAAAAGCTATGGTAACAGGAAAGAGCAAGACAGAAATTCAGAAGAAGAAAATGAAGTCAAAGGAGCCACTACATACAAAGCCTCCAAGAAAAAAAAATGAACCAGACACAAGCCCAACAAGAATTTTTAGAAGAACTACAACTGATTTTCAAAATCATGTAAGAGTGGTAGAGGAAAAATTAGGTAGAAAAATGAGAATAAAGGAAGAAAATTATGAAAAGACAGCTACTTGCTAAAAGAGGCCAAAAAAAAGAAAAGAACCCCTTAAAAAAAACAGAATTGGCCAAATGGAAAAAGTTGTAATAAAAGTTCATTTAAGGAAATCATTCCCTAAAAATTAGAATTGAGAATGTGGAAGCTAATGACGCCATGAGACATCACGAAATAATAAAACAAAGATGGCTCAGTGGATAAAGCACTGGAATTGTAATCAGGAAGACTCATCTTTCTTAGTTCAACTCTGGCTTCAGACACTTACTAGCTGTGTGAGCCCAGGCAAGTCACTTAACCCTGTTTGCCTCAGTTTCTCATCTGTAAAATGAGCTAGAGAAGGAAGTGGTAAACCACTCCAATATCTTTGCTAAGAAAACCCAAAATGGAGTCATGAAGAGTCAGACACAATTGAAAAACAACTGAACAAAAACAGTATTTTGACTCTTTAACAAGAGTATTTTTTGCAATATGAATTCAAATGTTATATTTACCAGTTCTCCATTTACATACTTTGTTATGCCCAAAAAAAGTGTTTGCTTAGTATATAAGTGAAATTTCATTTAAATATCACTGGTGTGAAAATGAAGAGATTTTTTTTAAGAGAAAATATTACTATAATTCGCATAAATGGATATTCAATAAGTAATGCAATCTAAATTTAAATTAAGAATAGAAGATAAACTGTTCAATGACCAGATCACAACTAACTTTTCTTGTTCCTTATTCAGCTAATGTGTGTGTGTGTGTGTGTGTGTGTGTGTGTGTGTGTGTATCAGACTTACTCCATTGAAGTTCTTTATTTGAACAAATAATGAACTTTTTTTTTAGGAAAAATAATGGGCTTTATTCAGAATATGAAGTACTTTCAGAAAGAATTAAAGAGCTTTGGATACTATAAGAATTATGATAATATGAGGGAAAGAGTGGTTAAATCAGCCAAGATTGTATTCTGAGTCTCCTGACCCAATTCACCTTTGAAAGGATGGTGTTGCAGGAGGTTGGGTGAGGGAAAGAAAAAAGCTGCAGACAAAAATGTTCAGTAAATGTTGAATAAAAATTAAATGTTCAATAACATTAGCATTTATAATAGGAATATTGAGATCTGAGGCAGTTGCTATGTCATCATTCATAAAAAGTTTATTTTAATGTCTGTCATGAATTAATTTGATGCATTCTTTATTTCCAGGAAGACAGTGGACCATTAGATGAGGCCGCCTTAATACTTCATAGAAAGGGATTTGATTGTAGATTTTCTAACAGAAGTGGACTACTTTGCTCACTTACTCAGGGAAAGGTATGTTTTAAAGGTTTTTTTCCTGAACTAATAAAGTGTTTGAAATTCTCCCTCCTGGCATAGATAATTGTGTGAAATGTTCTGTAATGATGTGAAAATAATAGCAACATTCGGGTTACTTATTCATCAGCCATAGAGGGTTCATAGTATGTCTCCCAGATCTGTATATCTAGCCCCAAACTCTTCCAGGTTTCACTCCCACATCATCTACTGCCTGTTGGATACTTCAGATCCTCTGTATTTGACATCTCAAACTCAACATGCCTGAAACAGAATTCATTGTATTCTCTCTCCCTCCTTCCCCACCAACCCATACCTGATCCAAACTTTCCTGTTTCTGAATGAAAGAAAAAATATTTATTAAGTGCTTACTTAATAGTGCTAGGCACTGTGCTAAGCACTCAGGATAAAAATATAAGCAAACTAGACAGTCCCTGCCCGGAAAAATAATACATAAAGCATTGGGGAGGACAGGGAATCAGTATACACTCAGATCAGTATTGTTTGGCAGTGCCCAAAAAAGTTAAGATAAGGCAAAGTTCAAGTTGGTTCTTTGTAAGAAAGAAGAGAAAGAATACATAGGCATAATTTAGAATAATTTATATAATTTAGAAATGACTAGAAATGATAGCAAGTTAGCATATACGTAGTGCTCTAAAGTTTTCAAATATTATCTCATTTGATTTCCACAAGAACCCTAAAAGTTAGGTACTATTATTTTCCCCTTTTAACAGATGAGGAAACTAAGGCAGACAATGATTATGACTTGCTCCTCAGGGTCACACAGCTATTAAGTGTCTAAGGCAGGATTTGTACTCGAGTCATCCTGACTTAAAGTCCAGCACACTGTGCCAATTAGCTGCCTCCAAGTGAGTATCTAGGGCACTACTGTCCTTCTCATCTCCCTGTTTTGAAACCTGGGCATTATCATCAATTCCTCACTCTCCCTCACCACATATATCCAGTCAGTTGCCAAATCTTCCTATTTCTATTTCCGTAACGTCTATAACCTCTGTTCCCTTCTCACTATTTATACATATACCACCATCATCACTTCTTTTCTGATCTATGGTAATGGCCTCCTAATTGGTCTCCCTCAGCTCCATTTCCATTGTCTGTATATAGCTGCCAGAGTGATTTTCCTTAAGCCCATGTCTGGCCTGACGTACACCAGGCCCTTCTCTTTGACTTTTAAAGCCCTTCACAATGGATCTTACCTTTCCAGCCTTGTTGTCACTCCCTTCTCCTCACTCTACAACCTAGCAAAGTTTACAGTCTCTTAGGTTTAGCCCTAGAAGGGGACGTTGGAGATCATTGAGTGCAAACTTAAAAGTTTTACAGATGAGGAAAATGAGGTTCAGAGAGGTGAAATGACTTTTCCTGAGTCACACACACAGACCATAAAGGTCTGAAGCAGGAATTGAACCCTGGTCTTCCTGACTGGAAGAGAGAAGGGGGAAATTTTTTGCTGTAGGTAACTCTCTGTGAGGAAATTTCTTCTAACATTGTAATTTTACAATGAATTTATTATCTCAGGGAACTTTAAGAATAGTCACCTCTTTTCCTTGAAGCATTTTCTTGTGTAGATGCTGTACTGTTTAACTTGTCAAGGTTCAGGTTCTGAGTCTTTAAATTTAATCATTTATTTTCATGAAAACTGTAGCTACAAAATATCATAGGACTTTACTGTAATAAGTAGGGGGATGTTGTTATAGAAATATTCCTGGATGATTGCTGCTTCTGAAACTTTTTTTATTTGTTTACGGACAGTTCACAAAATCTGAATAAAGTTTATGGATTCTTTCGACCCTTTTTGGTGAAAATTATAAACTTGGTGACCTTCGGTTATTTTAACATTCCTAAAAAACAACTTCTGTCTTAGCCTTACTTTGATTATCTGGACATTAGGGAATGGAATAAGCATTTAGTAAGAGCCCTACTATGTGTCAGCACTGTGCTAAGAACTTTACAAATACCTTACTTGATCCTCACAACAACTCTAGAAGATAGGTACTATTATTATCTGCACTTTAAAGTTAAGGAAGCTGGGGCAGACAGAGCTAAGTGCTTTGTCCATGGGCACACAGCTAGTCATTGTTTTAGGCTGGATTTGAGCTCAGGTCTCTGAATATAGTAGAATATATGTTTCTTTAATGACCTGGTAAATATTGGTTAATTGATATTTTAATAATAGAGTTACACTGAAAATGTTTTTACTATTTCAAGATATGTCAGTGGTTTTCAATCTTCCATTTGGCAGCCTCTACAGTTTCCATATTATCTTCCCCTTCACAGTTTTCTCCACTCACTCACCAAAAGAGCCAGCAGTTGATCATGCATGTACTTCGATATTTCTTAAACTAAGTTCTTTGGACAGATTTCAGGGCTATCCATGAGTTTGGATAGGAAAAAAATTAAATATTTATCTTCACTAAACTGCAACTGAGATTTAGCATTTCCTTCTATTATTTAGAACATTTTTCTTAGGAGTCGATAGGTTTTACCAGTCTTTCGATAAGGTACTAACAAAAAATGTTAAGAATACCTGATCTAATTAGAGCTAAACCCTCTATTGTTCCAACCGCAGTTGATCTAAAAGTTAAAGAGAAAAGACGGGAAAGACATAAAAATACAGATTAGTTCACATTTTATATGTAATCGGTAGTGGACCACTGCAATTGCAATAGTTTAAATATTTTTCTCTTCCAATTTCCCTTCAGTTTTTGAGGGTCTTATTCTTGAAGTGAGGAAATTAAACCTTACAGTTAGTTACATGTCTAAGTACTAAAAAATCTTGTTGGGAACAAAGTATATTTAAGTTAAATTTCTCTATTCTAACACCTGCCATGGGGTCTTGTCCAAGGTAATTATTTAATAAATGTCTTAATTACTATGTCACTGAATTTGTTTATTCGGAAAGCTGACTAAATTTAACTACAGAAATCCAGATTACTATAAAGCAAGGAAATGTCTAAGTAATGGGGCAGAGATAGTGGGAAATTTTGTAGGCTTATGGATTTTTTTTAATTTTCTACATATTTGATCTAAATATATGAACTTTTTATCATTTTTTTTTAGATGTTGGTACACAAGCTATTTAATGAATTTACTGTTCAAAGTCTTATACCATCATCATTATCTTTGATGCATTCACCTCCGGATAGCAGAAATACAAGTGATATCAACATGAGTCCCATGGAAATCAGTACATTCCGAATCCATTTGAGATGAACTTGGCTTTCAGTTTTGGATTGTGAAGAAATAGCTTTTGTATTTTCTTGATTTAACGTGCAATAAAGAAGCACATTGTTATTCCAGCTTCTGGATACTGTGAGAACATGAATTCTGTGATTTTCTTTTAACCAAGTTTTTTTTTCCCCTACAAAAGCCATGTTCTTAACAATTTTTTAGTTCTTTATCATGAAACACCACTGTCAGTATAAATTAATGCAACAAAAGAAGAAATATCTAAGGATGTTAATGTATCAACAACAGATTTAGTCTCAGGTTAAATGCTAATTTTGTCTTTGTTGGGGTTGTGAGATGGTTATTAAAGTATTTGCTGATCCTTGATCAATTTCTATTAAAATTATGATGGTTAATATCTCATTTCAGTATTTAAGTGAAATGAGATAAACAGCTGTTGGGTAATAGCTAATGGCCAAATAGTTGCAATAATGCATACAGGTTACAAATTTTTTTATCTTATTTTGTACTGTGGAGAGGTGAATTCTGTGGTGAAGTGCAATCCAGGAGCCTTTGTGATATGAATGATTAACTTTCATACCTTCCTCTAATTTACTTCTTGTTTTGCATCCTCCCTTATCCATCCTTCCCTTACCATCACCCCAGGCTGCCAGTATGTAGTATTAAAAAAAAAAAAAAAAAAAAGACATTTTCATTACTTGACAAAGTGGGATAGGTGCAATTTATTCCATTGTCACTTAAAAAAGCAAGAAGTAATTCCCTGGGTACCATAAACCTGTTTGGGGTACCATAAGGTATCTTTTTAGATAGCCCATTGGAACATTAATGTTCTGAGATGGGTTTTTCTATATCAAGATTACCATATCAAGATATAAATGTGCCTTATTTTTTTATATGTCTCATTAAATCTTTTGGTGTCCATATTACTGTTCTGGGGTTGGGGGTGAGGGGGTGGTTAGTTTATATGATACTTAAATTGTGTAATTTTTCTTGACAATGCTGGCCACACTCTGATCTGTGTTGTCCCACTAACCTTGTGCTGATGTTATTTTAAACATTTAGACTTTTTGAATGTACTAAGATGTAAGAAAGAAACACCAGGAAGATAAAACACTGTTAATCAAAATACACTGCTGCCAAGGAAACTGCAAACTGATGTAAAGATTTTGTAAAAATGCAAAATTGAGGCATCACTATACATTTCATAGATTGTTAACCATATTGGAAACATTTATATGATTTTTAAATGTCAGTGTCCGAAGTCTGATAACATGTGTAGATTCTTCATAGCTGTCATAATAGGAATTATGAGCATTTGGCTCACCCAGTTTGAATCTTTTTTTAATTATTATTATTACTACTAAGTTCAACATGAGTTAGTCTCATGTCTATGTGCCACAGTATGTTTGTTGTTCATACCATATCATTTAAAGGATTTCCTTTTAAAAAATGTTTTAATAGTTGTCATTAAGTAGATTCTTGTCCATGTGGAATTTCATAAATTCCCATTAATTAGAAAGAATTGATTTGCTTATTTTAAATTTGCATAATACTTTACCTCCTGTCATTTATACATTGTTATAAATAGTATGAAAACGAGTTTCTTTTTCCTGTTGGGGTTTCTGTGTTGTTCTCTAGTTCTGAATTTTCACTTAAGATTCAGTTGGCTAAGGAGATTATTAAAGTTGTGTATTCATAAATTTCATTCACCTTTAATAAACAAGCAATGCCTTTATAAATAAAACATCACAAGTGGATAACTTCATGCAATAAATATGTACTGTAAGTTTCCTTGGTGCAGTGATTGAAAACTTCCTGTTCGTTGAAATCTACAGATTTTGGATTGCCAGTGGAAAGTTCCAATAAAAAAGATCCAGTATTTTAATTGAATCTTAAATGAAAAACCTTCCTATGGGAGATCACTGTATTCTGTGGTAAACTGGATATTCATAACCTTTCCCTAAATTCTGATCAGCTATAAAGCAAATATTTGGACGCAATAAAAAGTATATTTGCCTGTTAAAATTATTTTGGGTGGATATGTTCCATTCCATTCATCAGCATCTTGTATCAGCTTTACTTTTGATTACTACCAGCTGTTCAAACATAATGCAAATATATTCTTTAACCAGCAAGTTTCTTTTCTTTTTTGAATTCTAAACATCTAGAACATCAGGGAAATTAAGAAAATGACCTTTCTTTAAATTGTCATGTTACCTAGATATTTGAATCTTTTCAGCTATACATTTAGTTGTTCATTCATTTATTGCAAATGTTCAAGAACCATGTTTTTCATTGCTTTAGTTTTCTCTGTTTTATTTTTGAGAGCTACAGAGATGATTGAGAACCCAGGATCCTTGTATTAAGCAAGTGCTGATGAAAATAAAATTCTGTAGAAAAATGTGGTAAAACATTGTAATTACTTTCCACATCAATGTACCTATACTGAAATGTTTTTACATTCCTTTGTTGAGAGAGAGACAGATTGCTTTTATCTTGCCCATACTTTCCTTGAAACAGATTGAATTCAACAGGTTTTGATATTTTCTCTAGGAAGATTTTATATCTTTTGGGGGAAATATAAGGTCTCTAATAAAAATAATATTATGGTGTCTCATGTTCTTCAGTCTAATTCTTTACTGTAGTGTACTAACAAATATAAAAATGTTTTTCAAAATGTACTCTCCTGATTTCTTTAGATGAATTTTGAATGTAAATCTTAATCGGGTTCTTGGAAATTAGATTAAGCTCCTCTGTACTTCTTTAGGATAGAATTCTGGGACTCTGTAGCCTCATTTTCAGTTACTTTTTTCTATTTCCTCTCTACTAGATAAAAGCTATTTTTTTCTATATCCATCTGTTGATATAGTGCTCAGCTTAGTGTTTCTACTCAAACTTAGAACGGAAATCTGACTATCAAGTTTTCAGTCTTCTCAGAAAGTCAAACCCAGGTGTGTGTGTGTGTGTGTGTATACTGTTGTGTGTTGTGGGTTGGGGAAGGGCAGGGGGAGAAGGACAATAAAAGCAATGATGTCTTAGAGAGTTGTAATTATCCATAAGTCAGTCAGCAAGCATTTACTAAATGCTGGCTGTGTGAGAGGCTCTTTGCTAGGCCCTGGGAGATCATCTCACATGGAAGGCATTGGTAGGGCAGAGAGTGGCGGAGGAGTGAGGTGGGATCAGGAAAGGCCTCCTGCAGAAGGTGGAATGTGAACTGAGTAAATAGTTGAGGTGAAGACAGAGAACATTTCAGGTAGGACAGCCACTGAAAAGGCAGTCAGGAAATGCATTCTTGGGTTCTAGGAACATTAAGGAGTCTAGTGTTACTGGATCATAGAGTACATGAAGGGAATACAAGATAAAACTGGAAAGATAGGTTCAAGGTTGTGAAGGGCTTTAAATGCAAGAGGATTTTATATTTCATTTTGGAGGAATCACTGGAGTTTATTAAGTGGAAGGAGAAGGGTGTGACACTTTTGGCAACTGAGTGGATGACGGGGAGAGACTTGAAGCAAGGAAACAACCAGAAGACCATTGCACAAAATACAGGCATGATGTTATGAGATCCTGCATTGCACCAGGTATGTGGTTGTGAGTTGAAAGAAAGTGACTTAATATGAGGAAGGGGAGGAAAGTGTGAGAGAAGCTGAGGACAACACTGAGCTTGGGAGCCTGGTTGAATGAGAAGATGGTGGTGCCTTTAGTAGTAATAAGAAAGTATGAAAGAGAGGAGAATTGGGGGGTAAAGTTATCGAGTTATGGTTTTGAGATATCCAAATGGGAATTGGTGATTTGAGACAAACTCAGCAGGGATTTGGGAGTTGTTGAGATCACCAAGATAGACTGAAAGAAGAGAAAAGGGCCCAGGAGACAACCTTAAGGCACACCCACAGTTAGTGTATATGACCTTGATGAAGATCCAGCAAAGGAGAATGAGGAGTAATCAGACAAATAGGAGAATCATCAGTGTCTTAAAAAACATGAGAAGAAATCCAGGAAAAGAGGGTGATGAACCATGTCAATGGCTGAGGAAAAGAAGAATTGGGCTTGAGAAAAGTCCATTAGTTCTGAGGAGAGATCATTGATGACTTTGAAGAGAACAGTTTCAGTTGAATGATGAGGTCAGAAGCCAAATGGCAGAGGGTTTAGAATGAGAGGAAGTGGAGGCAGAGTTTGTAGATGACTGTCAAGGTGTTTAGCCAATGGTCAGAGAGAGGACAATAATAGAGATTGTGGGATCAAGAGATTTTTTTAAGGATGAGGGAGACATAAATGTGTAGGCAGCAGGGATTGCATTAGTGAGATAGAGGGGATACTTTGAGAAGACCTGAAGAGATGGGATCAAAGATGCACGTAGAAACCTTTGCCTTGCCAAAGAAGTTCTATCTCTTCATGTGGAGACTGAAGGAAAGTAAGGGATAGAATTGCAACCTTGGCAGAGGAACTATTGCTTTCCATCATCAGAAAGTTGAATTTTTTAAAGCCTCTTTAATTCCCAACAAAATGCCACATCAGCACCCTCAGGACACTCTACTAGAGACCTTCAAAGTTAATATTTGGTAAAATAATCTTATATAGAGTCCAGACTAGACAAATTTCTAACTGTGGATGGCTGGGGCAGGTAGGATATAGGTGAGTTAGGAATAAAATTGCAGTTTAATTTCCGAGTGAGGAAAACACTTGCAAATGAAGTCTACCTCCCAGAGAAGGAGGGTTTACTTGATTATGAAGGGGTAGGATTTTTAAGCATGAAAATCACGAAGGACTGAACCACAATGCTTAGGTCTTGAGTAAACAGTTCCCACAGCAGGCCCATGTGTGTGTGTGCAGGCATTTTGGGGGACAGTACAGGCATTCTTGGGTCCTGTGGGAACAGTCTCCAAGTTACTAGAATCATTGAACCTTGTGATCATTCAGCAGGGTACAGAACCAGAGTTAGTGTGGTGGGAACAGGAGTGCAGCACCTGGTTGGTTCACTTAGCACTTACAAGTGCAGGGAATGTTAGCTTGTCAGGAGATTTAATTGATCACTTTCTGCTACAGCATGTCAGCTGCAGTCCCAGCTCTCGGGTCAGGATTCCCTGGGAATTAGAGAAGCTCCAACAAATCTAAATATTGTAATCATTATACTTAATATGAAAATCACAAATCCTGATTTTGGGGTTTTGCTGTGGCTGAGATCGTACAGCAGGTGAATGCAAAGGATTGTTGTTATGCCATGCTTAGGGCACAGCTTGCTTGCTGGACCTTAGCTCTGGAAAACAGGATGTCTCCTAATACACATTGAACCATCACTATCTATCTGTGCAACCACTTCTTACCTCAATTATACCATCACTTAGTCCACATTTTTTTTTTTAATCAAGTGGTTTCAGTGTGCAAAACACTATGGTAGATCTCAGGGATATAAAGACAGACACACTGAAAAGCAGTCCCTGCCTTCAAGGAGTTTATGTTCTACTAGGAGAGATATAACCTACATAGAAAATCGCATGATAAATTGATGAGGGAGAGGACACCAACAACTAAGTCCCCAGGAAAGATTCTGGGAGTAGGAGGTAACCTCTCCTTTGAGCCTTGAAAGAAGATGATTGTAGAGGAGAGGAGGAAGTATATTCCAGGCATGGGTGCCATAGGTAGTAAAATGATGTTGGAGTTTGACTACTGTCTAGTGCTGGCATTCCTGAATTAGCATAACTTGTTTCCAGAAGCTAAGCTAAAATCTATGTAAAGTACATGTATAGCATTCCCCCAGTCCTACTTTTGCTGCTAAAGAAAGCTAGAAGGACAAAGCTCTAAAACTATGTAGATTGGGTGTATTCTGAATTATTTTCTAATTTCAACGGGACTCTACTATAGCAAGGAGGTCCTTGTGTTCCTCCCTATTCAATTCTCCAGCCTTCTCAACATAGTGACTGTTGTAAACCTTTTCTCCTCAAACACTCGATAACCATCTTTCCTCCAATTTCTTACCTGGGAATCTTGTCTGATACTTCACACCCCCCCAAAAAATAGAGGCCATTCAAGGAGAACTCGCTCTTCCATTTCACATCCCTTTGATTCCACTTCTCCCTATCACCTTTAATTTAGTCTGAGGTGACTCCTTGCCTTGATCCCATCCCCATCTTCTCCAGCTGATTGCCCTATTGGCTCTTTCTAATCTTCTACCTTTCCCTATCAGTTCCTTTCATCCTGCCTACACCCATGCCCAAGTTTCCCTTAGAAATCTTCATTAGATCCTGCCGTCCCCACTATCATTCTTTATTCCTGCTGTCTTCAGCTAAATTCCCTAAAAAAACTGTCTGCATCAGTTGCCTCTACTCTCCCCATCTCATTTCCCTCATCTGACCTCAGCATTCTACCAAAACCGCTTTCCAACAATACCAAAGATCTCCTAACTGCCAGGTCTAAGGGCCTTTGTTCAATCTTCATGCTTTTTTGTCCTCTAACATTATGACACTGGTAAGGCAATTGGGGTTAAGTGACTTACCTAGAGTTACACAGTGAGCGTTATGTGTCTGAGGCCAGATTTGAACTCAGGTCTTGACTTCGGGGCCAGTACTCTATCCACTCATTATGACACTGTTAACCACCTCTTCTGGACATTCTCTCCCCTCCAGGTTTTAATGACTGCTCTCTTGATTTTCCTGACTCCTACTGTCACCTTTGCTGAGTCATCATCCCTGTCAATAACTGGGTCAATAACAGTAACTTTGGGTTTCTCTCAAGGTTCTGTCCTAGACCCTCTTCTCTTTTCTCTCTAAACTCTCACTGAATTCATTTCCCAAGGGTAGAATTACCATGTCTGCAGATGATAACCCAGAAGTCTCCTGAGTTTCAGTCTCATTACCAACTGCTTATTGGACATTTCATACTGGATGTCCTGTAAGCATCTCAAACTCAGTATGTCCAAATATCTTTTCCCCCCCAAAAATTCATCCCACTCCAAATATTTTTGTTACTATCAATCATTACCACTATCTTTCCAGTATCTTCTTTGGCAACTCGCTTGGAACTCATTCCACATGTTTAGGTAGTTGCCAAATCTTGTTTCTAGCGCCACAGTGTCTCACGTGTCTCCTCCATTCCAAAACCTTACCCATAATTCAGGCCTTCACCTCCCCCCTGGACTATTTCAGTAGCTTCCTACTTAGTCTGCCTTACTCATCTCTTCCATCTCCAATCCATTGTCCATCCCACTGCCAGTGATTTTCCTGAAGTGCAAGTCTGACCTCACTCCCCACCCCTACTCAAAAGACTCCAAGAACTCCAATAATTAAGATCAAATTTAAGCCCCTTTACCATTTAATACCCTTCACAATCTTACCTCTTCCTATCTTTCCAGTCTTTCACATTTTCCCATTGCACAAACTTTACTATCCTACTTGCTGTTTACAGGATGGTTTATCTCCTGTGTCTAAGCCTTTGCATTGGTTTTCCCCCATGCATGGAATAATCCACTTCTCCCTGACTCTTTAGAATCCCTGCCTTCCTCCAAGATAGTGCCATCTTCTACAAGAAGCACCCCACCCACACACCTGTTAGTGCCTTTCCCTTTAAAGTTATCTTGTATCTACTCTATATTTCATGTCTATTGAAATGTAAGCCCCTT